TACGTGAGAACAAGAGTTAAGAAAAAATTTTGTTCATAAGCAGTAGATATACAAATTGAACGAGTTGTCATGGAAATACTTACCTAGCTGCAGCAGTTCATGCACGCCTTCAGCTACTAAACGTGACTGAGTTTAAGCACTTCGCATTGACAGACCCAATAAATCAGTTAGCTTCAATTATTATTAATAAATGGATTCAAATCTACAAGTACATGCGATGACAGCAGTCAACAAGCTTTATTCAGAGCAGCCAATTAGCAGGCCCAAAAAAATAATACAAAAAATGAACTCAATTTAGCACCAAACACACAAAAAATAAGCTCATTAATACTGACCAAAAAAAGAAATCGGTTCTAGCACTGACATGTGCATCTGTAGATTACAAAATATGTCTAGAAGGCAGCTGCGCAGCCTCAGCGCTAACTGAGCAGAAAGAACCTTGAAATCTCCGCGAGTGTCCAAAAATGCAGGCGCCCTAGAAAAAAGAGACCCCAAAAAAAGAGAAGAAATATAAAAACAGCTAAAAGTAGTCAAGTCAAGCGCCAAAGAAGTAAACAAAAATCCAATTCAGCACAGCGCAGTGCAATGTTAGGAGCGGGGCCTGTACAGGAAATACGAAAGGCAGCCGCCGCAGCAGCAGCAGCAACTAACGAGGCCAGCATTGGCTAGTCGCACAGTTTTTGGATGCCATTGGCCGACGGAGTTGACGACTTGTTGGCCTGCAACTGAAGTTTGCGTACCTGAAGTTTTTTTTAGCTCTAAGCCAAAAGCATTTACTCATGGCCCATTGCGCAACAATACCGTTAAGTGATTACTTTGAAGAATTTATGGCCAAGAGGCAATTAATTAAATAAGACAACATCCAGTGTGGACTTCTACCACTCTCCTGAGAGCTGAGGCGAGCTTAGAGATGTCTGAGAGCGCATTACGATTCTGATTAACATATAGCGCATTATAGCTCAACAAGTGTACGCAAATCACTTTCACTCCAAAGCCACAAAAGCGAGGCAGAAACAGAAACAAAAAAAACCGAAAAGAAATTTCGATTTTGAGATTTCGCTTTCGTTTGACCGACTTAACATTTTTGTTTCTGAGACTCATCTGGCGCGGCGTTAACTAAACAATTTCTGTGCTGTTGTTGTTTTTATTGTTTTTTATTGCCGATGTGTGATGCGAAATCAATTATGAGTTATTAACAAATTAGCCGAAGCTAAAGAGTCGTGTAACTGACAGTTATAACATTATGACTCCACGCCCTAATACGGACTAAGAAAAAATGTTTCTTTCAAACTTGTTTTCACTTCTTCTCTTGCGGCTACTTCTGCCGCGTTTTCTTCTACGTACACGTTCCCATCTTAATGTCTGATCTTTATTCATTAGCATAATGCTCATTTGATATGACAGCTCTAATATGCAACGCTTTCGTAATAAACAAAAAAAAAAACACCTTTTAGGGCTGGGCTTTACTTTCTTTGTTGTCCAAATAGTTATGTTATTTATCGACTTTAGTTATTAGGTAAATGTTATAGACTCAGCAGATAAATGTGTGAAAAGAAAAGTGAGCTTATGAAAGTTATGCTTTTCCTTGCGGTACTTTTCGACCTAACCTAACTTTATTCGTTGACCTTCGTAAAGATTTGAAAAGCGAAACTGATTGTAAAGTTGAAAGATATACAATAAACTAGATATATATAGTGGAAGCCTTTCTAACTAAATAGAGAAAGAGTATGTAATAAAATTAACCCATCAAGCTAAAGACAAAAAGATTTGCATGGATAGAAATAATTCAATTATCTCACATTTTTCTGATATCCCTTCAAAATGATCTCAGTGTCAGCATTCAGCTATCTTCTTTGTGTAATCACATACATTAATTATGATTTTTTAACAATTCGAAAATATTTACAAAAGAAATTAAAAATAAATCAAAAGCAACTTTTCCCTTACTCACGAAGATCCAACCAAAATGCGCTATAAATAATACGAATTAGAAATGAGACAAAAATCCATATAGAAGCAGATAATATTAGACAAAAGCTTTTATAAGCAGACAGACAAATGGCTAATTCGTTCGACCTCATGAAAATCCCAACTGCCAATCATTGAAATCAAATTTCACTCGAACAGACAATCAAAAATGTGAAGATTAATTGTCTTTTGGTTTTCGGACATGGCCACCGTTTTAGCTGATGCTCTGATCATTCGGTTAATTTCGAGAGACTCCAACACTTCTCTGATTGTCACACAATTGACACCTTCAGTCAAGCAACAACGGCCCACTACAAACCACATTGCAGCGCTAATGTGGGTCTCGTGTTGGCATGTGACAACCACAACGACCGACAACACAGTTACACCTGCCCCGGTATATAATATACAAGGCGCATGCGTAGCGCCCATTCATGAGACGGCCGGGCAGGGCAGGGCCGGGCACGGAGTGGAGAAATGAAAGCCGCTTTGCATGTGTGAGCCGTGAAATTAACATGTTTGCAACGTGTTCCATGCCCCATGAAATATGACGCAAAATTATGGAACCCTTTCAGTTGAGAGTTCATTGAGTCTGTACAAAGCCAGCGTCCGGCAAGTTTGGTTGGCTGATTACAGTGCCAATGCTTATGGGCACTTGATTGATGACTGATTGATTGATGTTTTCACCAGCTGTGCAATTTGTCAAAAAAAAAAAATATTTTAAATAAAAAAGCGAGGGAAACTTTTATGTCGAAAGCCAAAGAAAATCTTGAAAGAGATATCTTTTGTGTGAAAAATATATATATTTCATTTTTAGCAAAAACAGATGCCCGGAAAGTCATTGAACGCCAAGCCACAAGGTCTTGAACTCAATTTTAATAGATTAGCTTTCGGTTTCGGTTAATATCGACAATTGTAGACTTACTCAAGTCGATATCCAGTAAGAGCTCTCTAGTAAAAGAGTGCTGCCGTACCAGAAAAACTGAATTTCATGTATAAAATCATAGGAATAAGCTTTACAAAACTGTTCTCAGTTCAAGAAAAGAATCAAACTGGCGACAATCCGCAAAGTCCTTTGGAAATCCGATTCACTCAACAATTTTGTTCGGCTTCACAGCCATACAAAATAAAAGTGAGAAGCTGCTGCTGCTGTTGCTGCTGCAGTATGTGGGACTGTTGCATAATCAGCTAACGCGAATGGCAGCTTTGACGGCGGCGCCGATGATGAGCTGCATCATTAGCGTCAACAACATAATTACAAGTACTATGCGAAAAGAAAAAGCCACTGGGGCTAGCGTCGACGGGGAACAGTGGAATAAATAAAACTTTGAAAATCTTGCAGACGCATCCCAAATGTCGCAAGATAATGCAAAAGCCATAAGATTTATGGGCTCCGAGCAATGAAAATTATGCATGCTGCTAAGCATTTTATAAGTCTTTGTGTACCTCCTTATCCCTCAGCCAGCAAACACCTGCATACGCTGTCCGCTCATCTTCTCTGGTTGAATAACTGTTTATCTTCTTTTTTACTGCGTTTTGTTATGTCTCTCTTTGTGCCGCATCATTCCATTTTATTCCAATCCAACTGGAATGCGTGTGCGGTGCGTATGACAAGCATTTTAAAACTTACCTCAGACTGCTTAAGTTTTGTGGAAGATCCCAGGCGGCGCTTTACAATTGCAACAATTGAAAACAAAAGAAATGTTGGGTATTGCAACACAACTTTTTTCAGCAGCAGCAGAGCATCAATTGTGCGGAAGCAAATGGCGTCAATCAAATGTCTCAATTTGTAAACTGCGACGCAATTTGACGGCTGCTTCAAGATCTCTCTTTTGAATTTATCTTCAATCATAATTCCGACACACCTTGTTACATTATACACTCCCAGCTGATTATATCTTTATTATCTTACATTTATTATACTTAAAAATATCTTACCATTTCAATAACAAAACAAGCAAGCGCCCAGGACGATACTCTATCCTTAACGCAATAGTTATCGATAACTCAATATGCAACTCAAATTGGGTCAAGGCTAATAAGCTGATTAGATATATTGCAAGCAAGGTTAATTGGCAGAAATCATTCATATTGTATTTCTGACAAAGAAAATCTCACCCAATCAAATTTTAGTAATAATCAATTAATTATTTTGTCCACAATTTGTTTGTCAGACACACGAAAGGAGACAATTAAAACAAAAACATACCAACAATAGAATTGTGATCAGCATACGCCGTCACAGTGAATAGCATAGAACAAATAATGAGCGCAACTCGAATTGAGTGCGTCTTCGTCTACTCTTTCGATTTCGAAATTCGTAGTTCACTTGAATTGAGTGCGTGTTCGTGTGCTCCTCTTTCGATTTCGAAATTCGTATTTCCCTTGGTAAGCGGACAACTTTAATTGTTCTGCCTTTCGCTTGGTCTCTTTCTGTTTACAGTGGAATGCAAAAGAACGCAATAAATTTATTTACTATGACGTCACTTGCGTACTTTCGCCTTACTTTTGCTGTAATCCGGTTTAAGTAACATAATTGCGGACAAGTTCATGGCTTTGACTAGTTTTTTCTTCACTGACTTTGACTCTATTTTTTAAAGGACTCCACGGTCGACGCACTACTGTTGTTGTTGCTATCAAATATGGAGCAGACATTGGCCAACAAACAAAACTGGTTCATATGAACGATGTGGCGGTTGTTTTGTGGCGTTGAAGAGGGGAACCAGCCCACTTTTGATCAGTCAATGAATAATTTTCTGTTGCCAGTTTTCAATTTCGTTAGCGATAAATCTGGTTTTTGCTTTGGGAATTAATGTCGATAGCGAGTTATGTAACAACATGTAATACCGTTATTGTAAATGGTCATTACCCTATTTGTGTCATGTGTCTATGTTTGCTGCTGTTCATTTGATGCAAATTTATTTTTATTACCAACTCCTACAGAAAATAGCAACTATATGCCATGGTTAAGATATCTAATTTATTAAGCTAATATTTGCTCAACCTAATAAAATCATGCTTATTTCTTACAGCCGCCGCATCCGCATCCGCATCCCCATCCATTCCATAATGGCCATCGTCGTCAGCTGAATCTGCAGCAGCAATATAATCAACAGAACTTTGTGCAAGCTGGCGTGGAGCTACCCATTCCTCCGCAACAGCAGCATCGTCAGCAGCATACACACCATCATCATCACCACCCACAACAGCAGCAGCACCACATCCAGCAGCCACATCGCTTCTCGCAGCAATTCCCGCAGCAGCAACAAGTGCAACACCAGCAGCAACAGCAAACTCCTCACATTAATCAGCAGTTCCAGCGCTCCACGCAAACCCAACTGCAAACTGCGCCACAGTACCCGCAAGCACCACTGCAACAGCAACAGCAACAGCAGCAGCAGCAGCAACAGTTGCCCTCAACTGCCAGCAATCTTGACCTGCACCATCAGAACTTTTTGGATTTGCGCAACTATGCTAGCTCGCAGCAGCAACAGCAGCAGCAGCAGCCCCTGCGCCACAAGCAATTTCCTGACTCACGACTACAATCGACAGCATTTCCAGCTCAGGCTTATCAGCAGCAGCAACAGCAGCAGACACTGCCACAGCAACAGCAGCAATTTACTTACCAGCAACCCCAACAGTTTGGCCAACAGACCACACAGAAGCTACCCAGCCTAGCGCCCGTGCCCACTTTCCAGACGTTGCAGCAATCGTCGTTGAACTATCAGCAACAACAGCAGCAGCAGATACAGCAGCAGCAGCAGCAGCTACAGCAGTCACAACAGCAACAACTGCAGCAACCACAGCAGCAGCAACAGCAATATGCATTGACACCACAGCTGGGTCTGCCTTTGCCGCAAATCTTTAACAATCTGCCTTCGACAGCTTTTCCTGCTCAGCCCTCTCGTGAGACTTTCCAACAACAGCAGCAGCAACAGCAACAACAGTTCCCCCAACAACAACATCAGTTCATCAGCAATGGACCGCAGGCGCAGCCAGCCGATCAGGAATACAAACAGAAGTTGATACAGAAACACGAGCAATTCGTGGCGAAGCAGTACGAGAAGTCGCAGCACAAGGTGCGCCAACAGCACGAGGAGTTCGTTGCCAAGCAACATGCCATCAAGCAGCATGTTCTGCCCACCATCATTAGCCAGCATAACAACTATCCACCACAGCCACAGTATGTGCAACCGCCACGTGGCCGACCCGTTGCCCATCCCACGGAATACAACCAATTCAACAGCGCTCTGCAACAATATTACAAAGAGCATCCTACAACAACCACCACAACCACTACAACCACCACCACCACCACAGAGGCTAGCACCACGCCCAAGAAGAACATCTACTCCCAAGTCAAGGCGGAGCTGGGCAAGTATAGCACCACGAAGCTGGGCAGCAAAAAACCCGTGAAGACAATTGCACGCGAGGATCTGCTTAAGCAGCTGAAGGCGGCTTTGTCGGAGGCGCCTCAACAGCCACTGACCGGCAATAAGACGTACGATGAAATGGATCTGGTGCTGCCTAATGGTCAGCGTGTGCAGGTCATACGCACCACTGACCCAAACCTCGTGCAAGGACAACAGGCCTATTCTCAGGATCAGCTGCAGGCGCTGCTGGCACAGCAGGCGCTCGGCACGGAAGCCAAGCTTAGTCTCAGTGATGTGGCGCCAAGCAAGAGTAAGGATCTGGTGCTGCCCGGCGGTGGCAAGGTGCAAATCTTACGCTCACCCGATCCACAGGAATCAGATACGCTACCCACTCAAGCACTGCCCGGCGGAGTTGACTTATCCAGCCTGGCTGCACTGTACGGCGGTGGCGCTGGTGATATCCAGGGCGTGACAAACGGCGCCAACAGTATTGCCAGCTCAGCGGTCATCACCTCCGATTCGGATAGTCCACCCACACTAGAGGAGCTAGCGAAACGTGGTCTCATACCCGATGGCTATGAAATCGAGGGATTGAGCTCGGACTCTGGCAAAGCCACGCCAGCACCGCCCACAGCACCACCCAAGAAGAAGGCAACATATGTGTATCTGGAGGAGCAGGCCGATGGCAGCTTTAAGATCCAGGGCGTCAAGGCCAACGGCGAGAAGGAGACCAAGCAAACGGGCGCCGAGGTCGAGAGCATTCTGGAACGCATTCGCAGCGGAGAGATTAAGCTGCCTCCATCTGTCTATCGCTTGACACTACCCAACGATGAGGTCGTCGAGATTAAGAGCGGCAAGATTATACAGACCACCACTACGACAACGACGCGCGCACCACCCAGCACAACCACAGCTAGAATAGTCTATACAACGACCTCCACGACTCCAGCGCCCTTCGTCTCGAGGAACACGCCCAGCAATCATCGCCAGTATCATCCATCGCGCACATCCACCACAACCAGCACCACGCCCATCAGCACTACCATCACCACCAGTACGCCCTATACGCCCCGCTTCACGGGTCTCTATGAGAGCAGCAGCACTGCTAGCGCTGCTGCCGCCAGCTTGATACGCACCACGCCTGGACCCGTCTATCACGCTTCACCTGTCACTCAGTCACCGTATGTGGGCGGCGTCTCCACACATCTGCCGGTGGTAACGGAGCGTCTGTCGGACATTACGCAGACGCCAGAGCAACAGACGCCCCCACAATATGCCGATGCCTTAGTGCAGGAAACTGAGAATACAGAGAAGGCTGCCTCCACAGGTGGCGCGTCGGTGCTCTCGAACCCCAGTGAGGATCTGCTGCAGATACTCAAGAGCAATGGACTTTTCGCCATGGCCAAATATCTGCGTCAAAGCGGCCTGGACAGCATACTCAACGAAACGGGTCCCTATACGATCTTTGTGCCCACCGACAAGGCCTTCAAGAATCTGCTCGTCCAGCTTGGTGGACCCGAGCGGGCCGAGGAGAAGTTCCAATCGAATCCTCGACTGTTGAGTGGCGTAAGCGGTGCCTCAATCTAATCTGTTTGTATACTCACCTTTATTGCCCTTTGCAGCTGCTTTTGCATCACGTCATTCCTGGCGCCTTTGAGATCGCCACTTTGCAGGACGAGATGACGGGCGTGTCCTTGGCAGGCACACAGCTGCGCGTCAATCAGTATAATATGCACGATCAGGAGTGGAACGATGTTACTGTAAGCCTAAATTTAGATAATGAATCCCATTACTGGGATGGAAAGCCAGTCTGAAGAGTCGTGGGGCGAGAGCTTACAATTATGATATTACGATGAGATGATTTGCTGATAAACAGACAGAGAGATTGATTGATTGATGTACTCTTCACAGCCCCGATTGGCAGAGCTAACTGACTGAAAAGCAGGCTGAGTGATAAACCTTTTGGCCGTCAGATTGATTGATGTAAGCCATCATTCATAGCTGAAGCTTTAAGAGCAAGCGACTGGCCCAGCTTACAATAGCTCTACAATATGATTGACTGACTGAGTGATATGTAGAGGGACAGGCAGACGCAGGCAAACTGGCTGATAGAGTGGCTGAATGAGTCGCTGACAAACTGACATAACTGATAAAGTGATTGATGTTAGAGCTATAAGAGTAAGCCAATCGATGCTGTGTATAGGAATTTTCTCATATGACTAAATAATTGACTTATTGAAAAGGAGTTTTAGTCTTTTATTTAGCATGATAAAAACTTTTCATACATTAGAAATACATTTGCAATGTTTCCTCATTCCATTTTAGCTCACCACCATTAATGGAGCAATGGTTGTGCTGAACAAGAAGGACATTAAGATACCGCAGGGCGTGGCACATGCCGTGGATCGTGTTATGTTCCCCCTGCCCGTGGGCGATTTGCTGCAGACATTGCAATCGGATCGCGAGGGTCGCTTCTCGAACTTCCTAAAGATTTTGTACACCTCTGGCATGTCCGAGAAATTGCAAGGCAAGGGTAAGAACTATGGCACTTACGACGTAAAGTAATAGAAATTAATTAAACTTCCCTTGCAGGTGTCAAGACGTACACAGTCTTTGCGCCGGTGGACAAGAGCTTTAGCGAACTGGACTCCGATACGCTGGAGAAGCTGTACACAGACAAGGAGGCAGCCGAACAGTTCGCCATGAAGCACATTGTGCCCGGGGCACTCTTCTCGGCCGGCATGCGCTTCTATCAGGTGAAGGACTCGCTGTACACCGGCAAAACGGTTGTGCTGCAAAAGACCTCAGCTGGCAAGATCAAGGTGAACGATGCCCAGATGGTCACCTCCAACATACCAGCCACAAATGGTGTCATCCATGCATTGGACGGCGTGCTGGCGTAGAGAAGCTCGAGCCTGCGACTGCAGCCCCGCTTTGATAGTGGGCATTGGTTTTCTGTTGCAGCTTCTTAGTCGATTAAGTTTTTTTGCGTAATTTTTGTTTTGGTTGCGTCGACCAAACTTTTCGGGGGGTAATTTTCTTTGTAGTTTACATACGAATCAGCAGCAAATTGTTAGTGAAATCTTGCCACAAATATCGCGATCGTCTACAGAATTGGTGCAACAACAATAATAACAACAACGAAATATTAGCAGAAAACAAAAAGTTTTGGTGCTTCCATTAAGGTTATTTCTGTATTTTCTTCTTTCGCTTTCATAAACAGTCATTAAAAATAGAAATAGTTTAATTTAAGTGAAAGAGAAAAACGAACAAATACCAAGAGATGTGTGTACAAAAGTTATGTTTTGTTAAAAAACGCGAGGGGAGGAAAGAAAATGGGTTAAGATTAAGACAGTTTTTATATACATATCTAATTTATTGTTTGGTCGTGAAATCCAATCTAAAATTATTTACAATTAAGAATTCTAATTAAGACAATGCGAAGCGTTATATGTTTTATATAAGAAGTATATAAAAATAAATATTAAATATATATAAATGAGCATTTATTGTTTCAATCCGTTAAATGATTTATACAGTTTTGGGGCCACTTTGCGTTGGACTTGAGCATACGAAATAAGGTTTAGTGAAAACTGTGTCAAACTTAATTTCTACAGTTTGTTGTAATTGAACGAAGCTACGCTGCATTGTGTGAGGAGCAGTTGTGCTCACGATATCTCACACTTTAAGAGCAACTGAAAAATGCTAACTACAGTTATGGAGCTATTGCTAAATAGTTAAGGGACAACTGATAAATGCTAAATACAGTTACAGAACTATTGTTTAAAGACTAGCTGTAGGCAACGACAAGCAAAGTGACACACACAGTTGTGCGGCGACTGTTTAAAGTCTAGCAGCGAAAAATTTGCGGCAAATTGACCCCCGACCACATTGTGCTAAAGGTTTGAGTCACTGCTAAGTTGCACAGTTTGATGAGCACTGAAAGTGTATAAAGAAATTAAATAAATAGCAACAGGTGTTTGGTTTTTTAATATACATATAATTCTCATAAATTCTTTATTAAGTCGACTTTTAAAATGGTTTGGTTTTTGTTGGTTTTTTTTTTTGCTTTCGGACTTTCTTTTTAATTAGTTTAGTTTACTTTACTATGCAAATACCAATCCATTATTATAATAATTAATAAATTTTCGTTATTTTTGTTTTTTTTTTATTATAATTATCGTTCTTCTTTTTTGCGAACTGAATTCCCTTCGTTTCGTATAATTAATATTCATTTATTTGCTGATTAAATACCTTTTCTTTCCCTTCACTTCCTTTTTTTTTTGTATTTGATTTATATTATTAAATTCTATAATTTGCTTTGCATCTGGATCTTAAATTGTTTGGTTTTTCTTTAATTTTGAGTTGCTTCTTTTGTTTATTCGTATTGTTATTTTTACATGCACATTTATAGTTGCAAAAAACATTAATGGCTATTTTGTATTTAAATATTTTATTCTCGTATTTCATATGCATATTAAAAAATAAATTAATGTATTCATTTATTAGATATGGAAAATAATCAAGAAGTCAACAGCAATATGAAATCAGGTTTTTTGTTTACGTGAAAAAACCAAAATTCAAAACATAAAAAACTAAATGCTAAAAATTAATTTTACATTTATATATATTTTTTAATTTTTTATTTTTAATTATTTTTTTAATACACATATACCAACGTCTATGCCATGCCTCTTGCCTTATTTTTTTACACATATTTAATTTTTTCCTTTTTAATTTTTAGCTTAGTTTTTTGTTTTGTTTTGTTTTTGTATTAATTTCTGAAAGTATCACCCTGTGTTTTCTCATAGTTTCCCATATATTTTAAATAATGTTTTTTTTTCGTGTTTTGTTGCCTTAAAATGTGTTTTTTTTACTCTCTTTCTTTCTCTCTCTTTCTTTCTCTCTCTGCTGATACGCCTTAAAATTTACAACAATACTTCAACTTAATTACATACAATAAAATATTTTATTTATATTTTTTTTGTATTTTTTGTATTTATTTTTTAACAAATCGCGCACTTCAAAATGGGCCGGAAATTTCAGCTCTGTTTAGAGCATTCAAAATTGATTTAATTTTTTGTTAATAATTTTTCACTTTTCTAAAATCTCAACAAAAACTATGTGTGTGTGTGTGTGAGAATGTGTTTTGGGCGTGGCTATTGTAGTTTTACTTTTAGTAGACACTGTAGTTAGTTAATTTGTTGCTGATTTCTTAATTATTTTATTTCGTTTTTGTTTTAACAGTTTGAATTGCTTTTTAGTTCAAGCACTCGCTACAAATGTAGAACAAATAAATTGAAAATATTTAAAAATTTAAAAATGTATTTAAATACTTAAAAAATATATTTCTTTTGTTTTGTTTTTAATTTTCTATTAAGTGAGAAATTTGTGAATTTGTTTCGCGAGCTTTTGAACTAGAAAACAATTAAACAATTAAATTTGCTGCTTTGATAAATTGCCATATATACTGACTCGTAGTTTACGGTATTTTTGTGGTATTTTTGTTTTTGCTGGGTATTTCATTTGTTTACCGTTAATTCTATTTTGTAATATGCTGTACGTAGTTTGGAGGAAAAAACACTTAAAATGTTTGTTAAAAACGAACTTTTTGACTATTTTCTGATTTCTCTTCTGCTTCTGCTTCTTCTTCGTCTGCTTGTTGTTTTTTATATGTTTTCTGCATCTATGCTTTGACTATTTGTTTTTGCTTGCTAATTTGCTTAGTTGCTGTGTGTTGTTGTTGCTGTGTAATTCAATTAAAATTTAAATTTATATAGGAACAATCCAAACGCGCGCTACGCGTCGCTTGAATCTAGAAAGTGACCCACCAAGGCTAACGCCACCTGCACCACCTGCACCACCTACACCACCTGCAGCACCAGCAAGAGCAACGTGAGCGGCGCTTACCATGCTTGCTGCCACGCCTACTGCTGCTGCACCAGCAGCTGCTCCACCTGGTCGGCGGTGCGCAGCAGAAACGCTGCGCTCTCCCTATACGCAGAGATCACCTGACGAGCGGCGGTCACCTCGTTGGGGCTCAGCTTGTGTGGTAAAATGGGCGCCACACGTGAGCAATTGGCATCGCCAGATGCTGCTAGCAGCTGTTGCTGCTGCTGTTGTTGCTGCTGTTGTTGCTGCTGCTGCTGTTGCTGCTGTTGCTGTTGCTGCTGTTGCTGCTGCTGTTGTTGCTGTTGCTGCTGCTGCTGCTGCAACTGCTGCAGCTGCTGTGTGGCTGTGACCAGCGCATTGTTGTTGCTGGCATTGCTCAGCGTTGCCAGATTGGCGGCACTTAGCTGTGCGCTGACTGTGTTGCTGTTGATGTTGATGTTGTTGTTGTTGTTGCTGCTGATGCTGCTGGCCAGGCTGCTGCCAGCGCCCAGCGCCGTTGGCTTCATGGAGAGATCGGTGGGCGTGACTGCAAGCAGAAGATGAAGTGCAGGATGAGTTAGTGTTTTTCCCGAAGTGTGAGAAGTGTTGCTGAAAGCTGAAGCACAGCTTGAGAAAGGTGAATATTTCTGAGAACTTTTCTGTTAAAGTTTTTTTCATAACATTTTCTATATATGTTTTTACCTTCTATAGAAGAGTTTTAAATATATTCTTTAATCCTCAATTCTAAAGCTTCTAAAAGCTCAAGCTTTTGGCTTACCTTCTTCAAGTTGCGCTTGCTTTTTAGCTTTTGACGTAAGCTTAGTTTTCTAGCTTGCGATGCTTTTGCTAGCTCAGTACTTAGAGCTTTCAGATTAAGGCTATGTACTGCAACTTGTGAAGCTACTAGTATGATTCTAAGAGAGTTTTGTAGAGCTTTATGAGATAGTAATCAAAGTTACTGGAACTCTTTGCTCCATCTATATCTATCTATAAGAATATCTGTGATATCTAGATCTAGAAGCTTTTCGTAGTCATCTTTTCGGTAATTGACAATGACATGCCCAGCTTGTTGTTAAAAGCTTTAAGACGCTTTTAAATTAAAAAGTTTTAAACTATGTATAAATGAAGAGCTTTTAACTAGCTGACACCGTTATGAGAAGCTTGTTAAATGGAATTTAAGTATGTAAGCAAAATATAATTTGAAGTCAGATATTGTAAATATAAGTGAGACACCTAGAAGAGAAGCTTTTCGAAACTAACTTTAATGTACTTTCAATAACCTTGATTTTTGTATATAGTAAAAGATATTTTGCACTTATCTCACATCAATTGAATTTTGTTCTATTAGTAAAAGTATCTCAAGCTTTAAGATGAGAGCTTATATGTGCTTTCAACTTCTTTAAGCTCTATAAAAATAAATGTTGCCTCATTTTATTTTCATTTAAAGTTGCTGCTTTAGCTAATTCTTAAATTGGCCTTTCTAGACTCCTCCTCACTTTCACTTTACAATAATATTAATTAATAAACCTTAAGCTGGGCTCATTTAGTAAAAGGAAGAGTTATTTAAGCACAGTGCTTGGAGATGTATACTTACCATTACCCAGGCCGGCGACGCCCGGAAAATAGCCTGGGTAGCTGGGCGCACGGCCGGCTGCCACAGCCGCTGCCGCTGCAGCTGCCACAAAAGGCGAGGCCGCCGAGGGCGAGCTGAAGTCCGTGGTATAGGGGCTGCTGGAGGGCAGGCCGGCGCCATTCGATGCCCCAGCGCCGCCGTTGGCCAGCGCCAAGCCCGTTACGCTGGCGCCACCGACGCTCGCATTGGAGCTCAATGCCAGCGGAGAGCTGCGCGCCGAGCTCATGCCACCTGTACCGCCGCCAGCTGCACCGCTGGTGCTATTACCGCCTGCACTGCCGGCGCCCGCAATGTTGGCCGCCCCGCCGAACGCTCCGTCCGCATGCTCCGAGTTGGGCGTGGAGCGTGCAAAGCCGACGGCGCTCACAAAAGGTAGCGCAGCGGCGGCCGCGCTGCTCAGCCCAGCCGCATCGGCTGCGGTGCAGGTGACGGTCGCCGCATTGCTTGCGGATGTGGTGCTGGTACCAGCCACAGCTGCGGCAGCCGCTGCTGCGGCCACAACGCTGCCCGGCGCTGGCACCGCATGGGTGATGGGCTCCAGGCCAATGCGCATACGCTTCGCGTTCATCGATTCATTCTCACAGGCGATGGCCAGGATTTGCTCCGCCTGCACGGAGGTCAAGTGAGCGGGCGTCGGTCGAGTCTGTGCGCAGAAACAACAAATGTATGTTATAAATACAAACTCTTATAAATGTCAGCTATGACAGCCTTAGCTTGCCTCAACTCATCTGCGAGTTATATGAAAAAGGATTCATTATAAACTATGTTTACTTTACGTGAAGCGCTGCAATCACTTTGATCAGCCTAGTTCTTATAGTTCTCGAGCTATGCTCCAGAAACCTATTCATTTTAAGCTTGGTTATTTATTAATAGATTTCGAGATGGACTTAACTATGTTCTGTGGCTTAGAGAAACTTATTTCAAACTTTTTATTACAAATAATTATCATAACCATAGCAGATATTTAGAATCTAGCAAAGGCCTAAAAACTTTCTAAACTAAAGAAGTTTCTATTTCATCGTGAAGAGTCACGGGTCTGGTCTGAGCTGGAACTTAGCTTTTTAAAGGAATCAATTTAATATAATAAGCTGCAGACATAAAGAAAGTCGTCAGAATAAATGAACTTTAAGATGACCTAGCTGCTAATAGTGCTGATATAATTTGGAATGGTTGGGAAAAAGTTACAGATAGTTCTTATGAAGATCAGCTTTATCTTCTAGATATCTGTCTTCAGTCCTACACAATATACTCAATTATGAATCCATCCGAAGTCGAGGTCCTTTCATAACTTACCGTATTCTCCCAGCCGTCTCGTGTCTTCTTGTTGCGACGGCACGATTTGAGATAGGTGCGAATACGTTTGCGGGAACGATCGCTGAACTCGGGAAATTGTCGAGCGCACGAATCGATGATGGCTTGAATCTTCTCCTTTGGCTGCTTCGAGATGGGTATAATGCGATCCAGATTCTCGTCCACAAACAAACGGACAAACATCTGCAAGGCAAGTGGAGAGCATCATGAGTATTATTTATGAATTCGAGTATGTCGAAGGCCATACTCCATTGGCAACATTGGCAACGTTCGCTTTACATTCAACATGAGAGAGAGATGAGACGCGCTCTCTCTCCCTCGCCCTCTCTTACTCTCGCACTTTACTCACATTGAAGGCCTTGAGGCGCTCAGGATCGTGTGGGGTGGCCAGCTTCTCATCCAGTTTGTCATCGGAATCGTCTTCAGAAACCTCGTCCTCCTCCTTCTGCCCCGACGAGTTGGTCTCGTCCTGCGCTTCCATTGGCGACGGCGCATCCTGCCTGGGCACCGGCGACAGCGAGCTGTCCATTTTGCTGTTAGCCGCTGCAACCGCTGCCGCATTTTGGGCCAAAGCATTCTGGTACTGCGCCCAAAGGCCGCCCACAACGCTGAGGTCGGGCCCCTCGGTGCCATTGCGCACAGCCGTTGAGTTTTGGTAGTTCCAGGCGAGCAGCATTAGTTTAAGTTTGTCCGCATCCTTCATGAGGCCCGCGTAGGCCTCTGACTCGTTGGTTATGCCACCTCCACCACCGCCGCCGCCCAGGCTGCTGGCAATATCAACCAGTCCGGTGCCGGCACCGCCAACACCACTTCCAACGCCGCCGCCACCGCCGCCGCCGCCGCCTCCTACACCAACAAGGCTGCTGGTGTCGGTGCTTGTGGCCGGTGTTGCTGGTATGGTTTCCTATAGAATAAGAGCAGAAGTTGGGTTCGGTTACGGAATGTTGGATTGAGCACAAGTTCAATTTTGGAGAACTTTCAATGACCGCACAACAAAGTTTTTTGGGACAGCGTTCGATATACCAAAATCCCAATGATTAGTCGAGGTTTCTTCTCGACAGACCTCAAAGCTCGTTAGACCATTCAAAAGTATGCGCAAAAAGCGTCAAAGAAGCGACGCCCCTTTGCCGCCTCTGCCCTCTTCCTTTGCCCCGCACTTGCAGCAAAGTTTTTCTTGCCCAAGATGAAAGTCGAGCCGGGGTTTCTTTTTTTTTTATCCGACGGATTGATGTTTTCTTTTTTTTCCTTTCCGCAATGCTTGGCTTTTATGCTGCGCTGCAAATTAGTTGGCAGGATTTGCGAGAGGGTTGGGGCAGGGCAAGTTTTTGGGGTACGTCCTGAGTCTCTGTTATTTGTGGCCAACATTGCTCTAATGAAACATTTCGTTCGACTCCAAGACGTTGCTTCATCTCAGCTTACTCCCTCTCTCTCTCTCACTCACTCTGTCTCTTGCTTTCTTTCTTTCGGTTGTGGTTGCAGGACAGCGGTTGCCCGCATGTCCGTTGCTCAACGGCTTCGTAGGGGGTTCAGCTGCCAGCACAAATGAAGTTGAAGCATTGCCCGGGCAGAAAAAAAGGTAGTAGAGACGCAGTCCAAATGAAAATGAAGTTTGAACATGGTGCCTAATTAACATTCAGCTGGAGCCACACATCCCAGCGAAGTCAAAGAGTCTGATTATGCTAAGACTAAAAGGTGTGTGCATAGCGCCTTTTTATGTCTATTAGCTGAAAGCAGTTTGGCTCTAAGGCATTGAGGCTTCACTCAGACATCAGCTAAGCTATGCAAGGTCTATGCTTAGGAACTTCATTCAACTACATCATCATTTTATATTACCAAAGAGTGCCGACTAAGGAGCGTTCAATATGGATAAGAAGAGCAGAAACAAATATTTCTTTCTAAAGGTCTTAAAACTTCAAAGTCTCAACTAAGAAAATGTACTCAAAATAAAATTGAGAAAATTTTCCTTTATCAAAAGGCAGCTTGAACTAATTTTTTAAAGAATTTTTAACTCTTGATTCTCATTAAACCATTGATTAGCTGAGCAGTAGAGCTGCTGAAATAAATGTAGCTCAAAGGTCAAAGCCATTCAACTTTTTCCCAGGAATCAGTCGAGTTCCTTAGATGAGCTTTTCTTATAAAAAAAATGTATGTGAATTTCAGCAGAATTCCATAAGCAATTCTTAGCTTGAGTGCCTTTAGTATATCTCGTTCTTCAACATATGCTTTTACTACAACTAGTTCAATGGTGACAACTTTTCTTTATAGTTAATGAAGCCAAGGACTTCCTTCCGTACAACAAGAAAGCAACTGTTACCTAATAGAAAGTGATGCAACTTACTTAAAGCAACAACTCCCAAGTCAATTTTCTAATCAAACCAAAGGAAAACCAAATGGCAATTTGGATCTTGTCCACTGTCAAACGAAAATAGCCAACAGAGAAGTCGAAGATGCGCAACATGAGAGGCCAAACTAGTTGTACGTGGTGGCTATGGCAGGGAGAAGGTGACTTTTTTGTGAGAGTTTAGGTTAAGCTACGAATTCAAAGCTAGCTGGCAATTTCTTTCAGTTCAAGTTACCCTTTGCTTGAGGCATTGAAGAAACGACCACATGAATAAGAAGAAAACGTACAAATTTTCCATTAATTAAAACGGTACAAGAAAAGCAACTGGGGAGCTAAAATGGGATTGCAGATGGACGTGGAGGTGGTGAAGGTGGGGCTGGACAAAGTCAATGGACGAGAGCTGGCTGGACAGCTATGTAGGGCTGGGGTTAAATCTAGCAAAAGGAACCAAGCGACTGACATTTTTGTGAAGTTGAGCAACTCCGTCGGGAGTCTTTACAGGCGCACAGCTTGGACGAAGTCAATACATACATATATATATATACAAAGAGAGAGAGGGGGAGAGAGAGAGAGAGTGAGAGAGTGTTAGATGTGTGCTTCGGCTATGTACAAGTTTTTGGCTTAGGAGTTGGCTCAACTTTGGAGGCTGGCATTGACTTAAGCTGCTGAGCTGCTCCTAGGGCAACCTTGACTTTGACAGCAAGGGAAGGGAGGCGACGCGATATGCCAAGCAATTTGTTCTATGCTGTCAGCCCACTAGGCGTATGAGCAACACCTGCAAGACACACACACAAGCAACGAGTTAGACATAAATCCGAGCATTTATTTCGTAGAGTTGAGAGCGTCGCAACGAAGTCGCTTTTGAAGTTTTTGCTAGGCAGGCGTCTGGGCAGACAAATTGTAACCCTTTTACTGTAGCAGCTCCTCCACACACGCACACACGCACACACGTGCAGCTGCTTGTCATGCCTAATAAGTGAAATATGCGGGTTGTGGCATCTTGCAAGGAAAGCAAAAGACTTGAATTGGCAACGGGGGCTACAAAATACAAGTTCAATGCAAAGCTAGGCGGAAGCAGAGCTGGAAAGAGGGTAAAAGGTTTCACTTTTGGTGCTTATATGTGTTTGTTATTGTTGTCTGCTGCGCCTAAAAGCAGGCAACAGCCTCACACTACAACTACACAGCAACTACAATGCTGAAAAAGCCTCTAAGCACACGCATAATGAATTACCAACGACTCAAGAGCGAGACAGAGAGAGGGAGAGAGAGAGAGCGAGTGTTTGGGTGTGGGAGTGTGTGCCTGCCAACTGCCGATGACATATTTGTGCAGACTCAGAGACGCAGCGCCTAAAAGGCAGCTAAGAAAATTTGCGTTTAACTCATAAGTGCGTGAAAGGGTTGGCAACCCCTAGCCCAAGCGAACCCCCTGCCCTGGCAACTGCTAGCTATAAACTGAGCTGGAGCGGTTGCCTCTGTGCGCTGTCAAGAAAATTGTAGTTTAAATGAAATGGAAGTTGCTTTTATCAACGACGCCGGCAGCAGCCAGCAGAGGGAAGGCCTTGCTGCCAGGGGCTGGGGTTAGTTCGTGTGCATGTGTGAGCTTTCTTAGAAGTTGTCTGCCTGTCTGAGTGGGTCTGTGTCTGTGTATGTGTGGGTTGTCGTATATAAATTAAAATGCCTAAACATATGCATTAGTTTTTGTCTCAAGCTCAAGCTACGTATTGCTATCTCAGTCTTGGGGAGCTGCAAAGTTTTTGTGGTTACGGTATTGGCAGGAGGCAGTGGCACAGGCAGCTGGGCTGGGGGTTTTTCGGGGTTGACTGCTTTTGAGAGCAGCCCAGGGATGCCGGTGGGGAATTGCGGTGCAGCCCTGATGTCTGTCAGAGTCGGTCTAGCTCTTCAGCTCTGCCTGTGTGTGTGTGTGCGGCTGTGGGCTGGCAACTTAGTCTAATGAGAATTCGAAAACTTAACTACGCAATCGTGCTGAAGAAATTAAAAGAAATTGCTCAAGACAATATCAAATGATATAGATATACACATATTTATATACATAGAAGTCTGTATATGTATGTGTGCACAGACACTGTGTACAGTTTCAGCTCCAATTGTGAATGCAATCAAATAAATATTTACTTGAGTTGTTTCAACAGCGACCAAAAAGCAAAAAGTATTTGACTTATATTTTTTCCCAACGACGACAATTTATGGGCCATGGTCAAGTGTGGGAATTACATAAGCTGTGAGGAATATTGGGAATCAAGTAGGATTATTTATGGCTAAATTAGTGTGCGCAAAAGTAGATAGAAATGAAAGCATTTAAAAGTTGTCTAATAGAGCTCCTCTCTTCGAGTCTTTGCCTGGTATACATGGCCCTGTTGGGCCCTTACAATCTTAACAATAATTCAATTTGTGACCAATTGTTCAATATTCATATCTTTACTATATCTTAATATATCTTCAGTAAATACCAAACTGCTGCTCTGTTAAGCCAAGTCGGGTTGGAGCTTCTCTTTCTATCAGCCTAGTTCCCAGTTGCCAACTCGCTCAACTTTCTCTAAGTCTTGCTTTTAAGCCTTACTTCATCGGCTGCCCAACCTCTAGCTCTCATTTATTAAATCTTTTGCATCTTCTAAATGTTAAATTCCATTTGACCCCATTGTTTTGCTTAGACAAAGGTTGTTTAAGCAAAAAGCCAACTATTTTCATATGGTTGGCTCAATCAAATATCATTTTTGGGCACTGCTTCTAGGGCATCAATATGCACATAAATATTTACCCAACAGCATATCCATATGCATGTTTTCCATTTCAACTTTCAGTGTTCAGCACTGCGTCATTCGAATGCAGCTGCAGTCTCTAAGTGCATTATATGCATGTACTATATATATATATATATAACTATAATATATATTGTATATGCAAACATATATGTATATGCATATATATAGTAAAACATGTAGTCCCATTTACAATTGCCTCCAACAGGGCTGTGAACACCAAAACGCGAGCGTTGGTCAAAGCAATTACAAAAAAAATTTACTCTCAGGCGTTGTCCGCGGATGGGCAAAACATTTTTCTAGGGGCCAGTCAAAAACAACAGTAAAAAATGAAATAAACAAAATAGATTTTAATATATATATATATGTATATATATATTTGAATATATATACACACATATATTCATATAGAGTAAATGTGAGCTGGAAACAGACGCTGGGCAATGTCAAATTAGTTGGCAGTCATGTTAACAGCCATTAGCAAAGCGCAAGAGTTAAGAGTGGAGAGAGAGAAAGTGGAATGCATCGAGTGGGATTTAGAGGTTCTGTGAAAAAATATGCATAGGTAGACAGCTACAAAGCGCTGATGGAAACGTTGAAAATATGCGAATTCACAAATGATATTTTTACAGAGATAAAATGTGGCAAGAGTACATCAATAGCTGGCAAAGCTGCAGCTTGGAGAAGTAAAAGCGATGACAAAATGTAAAAAACCGCAGTTCTAGAGGAATCATCAGAGTGGGCTTAAAAGCAGGACACTCTCAAGTGATAAGCACTTCGATCGTA